TTCCACCGTTGGGTGACTGTCTATGTGGAGTTTGCACAGTCTCCTCGTGTCTGCGTGGGTTTCTTCTGGTTGGTCCGATTTCCTCCCACAGTCCAAAGATATTCGGGCTGGGTGGATTGGCCAATGCCTCATTGCCCTGTAGTGTCCCAAAATGCGTAGACTAAGGTGGATTAGCTATGAGAAATGCAGGGTTACAGCGATAGGGTAAGAAGGTGGATCTGTGTGGGATGTTCTTCAGAGTGTCGGTGTGGACTCGATGGCCCGAATTGCCTGTTTCCACCCTGTAGGGTTTCTATGATTAACTCCAGGCAGTCCCTAACTCCTGGTATTCGACGCTACACAATTTCCATCAAAGTCTAGTGCTTCGTTGAGGACACTTGTATCAGCATCTAAGACGTTTCTGTGTACATTGTAGCTCTTCAGCCTTTTGAACCAAAGGTCACAATTAGTGGGTTGAACCATTTCTCCAGAGCTTCATCCAAGTTTGAAAACAACGAACTGTCTGTGATGGTAGGAGTGCACTGGTAATTAATCCTCATTACTCTACAAGTCATTGAAAATGTGCAGATGTTTTATTTACCACTAAAGTCATCAACTGCTTTCTCTTTAGCACTGTTATCCTGAAAAAAAGAAATCGTTCACCAGGTTTTATCAATAAATTTTTTAAAAATTAAAAATAGAAGTTATTTAAACAAGCAGCAAAAGTGGTTTATTAACTAACATTACTCTGCAATTTTAAATTATTTCCCTGTATTCTCCCACACATTCAGAGTCAGATAAGCCAACACAGCACATCTCAGCACAAATGTATCAAGGGTTTGAAAAACAGGCTAAAACAAAAATGCGCCTGTAGATCAAGATTTCAAATTTAGTGGATAAAAATGAGTTGACCTCTCATAGTTCCTTTTATTTCTAGTCAACGTATTCGACTGCTGACAGTGACTCAATGATGGATGATCTTCAAACCCAATTTCAAAGCCAGTCGAGAAACAGTTACAGTTACAATTGACAATTGAAATTTTACCATGTTCTTTCAAACTACTTCAGTGAGAAAGAAAATTTTTTTGACTGGTTTTTGTTGTAAGGTTTTTTTTTCCTTGCTGACAGAGAAAGAGAGAGAACACTGCTCTTTTGTTGCAAGCCTGTGCACAACTGCCATACCTAAATGTGAAGTGAAAAAGCAATTTTAATTCAGAGACTGTTGCAAGGCAACCTTAAGCGTGAATCCAAGATTTTTGTTTCAAACTGTTTGTTCAACAATTAAGACATAAGAGATGAGTTTATTTCTTAAGAGCTTTGGCAGACTTGTGGAGTAGTGAAGCTTGATTACTAGTGGACTCCATCTGTCAAAGTTAGTTTCTAATTTTTATTATTCTATTTTTTTTAATTCCAAGTCAGTTTCTATCTTAACCACTTAAACAATATTATTTACTCACTTATTGATCTATGCACATATGCAGCCAGGGCCCTCTCTTTCTGCACCCCTCATAAGAATTATGCTCCCTGTTTTATATTGATTTTCAATGTTCTTCCTACCAAAATGTATCACCTCACACTTCTCTCCATGTAACTGCTAATTCTATCCTTCTAAGCTTCTGCAAAGTTCCCACTAAAGTTGCATGGCTGTGCCAACACGCAGTTGCTCTAAGATGCTGCATCTAAAGCTTAGAAGCCTGCACAGCCAGAAAGAAAATTAGAGGGAATGCTATTCCCCACCACTGACATCTAGGGAGCCCAGATTTGTTGGCCTGCCTTTCCCATTTGAGGGAATATATCTTTATTGTGCCTGAACCATCTCCTCTTCAAAGGTAGCCCATGTTCAGCTACTGTTTTTTCTACCAACCTTTGGTTCAAGTCTGTCCATCCTAGCGCAGTTCTTGTTCCATTGAAGTCTGCTGTCTGCCAGTTGATTGATCAATCCAGAGTAAGAACAAAGTCATTTTCCACCATCATCGTAAAACTTAAATCCTCTAAGTATCCCCCCACCATTATTTGATCTACTTGCATACCTTACTTCCAAGAACCAGGTCTAGCAGTGCCTTCTTTCATGTTGGGCTGGACACATTCTGCTGTAGGAAATTCCCCTGAATACAATATAGAAAAGCTTGTCCTCTCATTACCTCTTACACTGACACTGACACTGTCCCATCTATAGACGGGTTATTAAAGTCTCCCATTATATCTACTCTCTGATGCTTATACAGCTGTGTAATTTCCTTACAGATTTGTTCCTGTACATCCTTTCCAGTTGTTGGTGTGTACATTACACTGAGGAATGTAATCATATCCTTCTTATTCCTTAGCTCTGGCAAAACCAACTCTGTTCTTTAACCATCTGAAACATCTCTTTCTTGAGGACTGCAGAGATCTTCTTAACAAAAGCACCATCCCTCCTATTTTTCTCTTTCCTGTATTTGCCGAACATGTTGTAGCTCGTTTCACTCCCAGACCTATTCTACTTTAAGCCAGGTTTCCTTTGTCACCACAACATCATAATCCTACAAGGTTCCTATCTCATCAACAATACTCCGTGCATCCACATACTCCATTCAATGTAACCCTGATTCATTACTTTCTCCCTTACTCCAACTCCTCATAACTTGGTATTCTCTATTTTAGTGTTATATTTTCTTCAGCATTTCATGCACCCTTATATTGCTTTCTAATATTGCTCTTGGTTACTACACCCTTGCTGAGTTAGGTTAAACCCTTCCCCACAGCACTAACAAAATGTCCTGCAAGGACCTTGGTCCAGATTCTGTTTAGATGTAACCCATTTGGCTTATACAAGTGCCATTTCCCCTGGAGCCAGTCTTAGTGACCCAGGAGTCTAAAGAACTCCCTCTTGCACCGTCTTACCAGCCACATATTCATGTATCTTATTCTATTTCTGTACTCACTGACATGTGGCACTGGGAGTAATCTGTAGATGACCATTTTAGATTGCTTGCTAATTTCCTACTTGGCTCCCTAAATTCCCTAAGGACCAAATTGCCTCTGCTACAATTGTCATCGGTGACAATGTGGACCATGACCTCTGGCTGTTCATCCTCCCCCAGAAAGATGTCCTGCAGCTGTCTTTGGCATCCTTGACCCAACTGGAGAGGTGGGAAATCCTCCCTTTCAAGGAAGCAACACAACATCCTGAAGTCACACTGATAGATGCAGAAATTCTAGTCTGTTCCCCAATGAAAGAATCCCCTGTCGCTACTGCCTTTCCACTCTTCCTCTTCTCCTGTACATTTTGGTCACCTGTTCTGCCAATGGCTTGGTTCTTGCTATACTACCCCAAGGATCCATCTCTTGCCAATATCAAGGTCATAAAAGTGGTTAATGAGCAGCACATCTGGTGACTTGAACTACCTGCTTGTTCCCTTGGACTGCCTGGTGGTCACCCATTCCCTATGCACCTGATTGCTCCTAACTTGCATTGTGACCAGCTCCCTGAATGTGCTATCAAAGTGTGGATGCAGCACTTTCACTGTAGCCGCTGATTGAACTCTGAAACGTAAATTTGAAACTTGGGTAGTCAGTGGCGTATCCTGTACATAGGCTCATCTAGGTCATTAGGAGCACCCACAATTTCCTACATGCCACAGATGAGCATTCTGCTTGGCTGAACTGCCCAGCCATACCTTAACCTTCAACTTGGAAGTTACATATCTTTAAATTTTATAGTTATTTTTTACTTACTTTACCCTTATTCTTTTACCGTTAACGACAAAGAGATTACTGGAAAGTAGAACATTTTCACCTTTACTCACAAATCACCTTCCTCTCATGTGCCTATAAATTCTTACTTTTTTGTGCGAGTTTAGAAGATTACCTTTTCCAAAGTTAGAAGGTTTGAAACACAGTCCCCAACTTCTCTGCTTGCACTGCTTGATCTGGTGTCTGCAGTTTCTCTCTTTTTTTTCTAATCTGTTGTTCTCTCCCTCTCTGCACTGTTTGATCTGGGATTAACTTTCTCTCGCAATGTTTTATCTGATACACTCTCTCTCTGCAGTGTTTTATCTGGTGTCCATTCTCTCTCTCTCTCATGATGTTTTATCTAGTATGCGCTCTTTCTCTTTGCACTGTTTGATCTGGTGTCCACTCACTCTCTTGCACTGTTTTATCTGATGTTTGCTCTCTTTCTCATATTGCTTTATCTGGTGTCCACTATCTCTCTCTCACATACACTGAATTATCTGGTGTCTGTTCCCTTTCACTTCTTGTACTGTCTTATCTGGATCTACATTGCCCATCTCACTGTTAAGAAAGTCTCAGTTTTACTTTTGAATGGGACGAAATGACTGTGTTTAGGCAGAGCAAAACAGATACATTTGTATCTGAAACCTCTAGTGTAAGATGTTGGACTGGGGAGGTAGGCAATCTAACAGAAATATCCCAATTTATAAAATGAGTTAAGTTCATCAGTGAAAACATTATTGCTGCTGATTAGAAAATCAGAAACAAAAGGATTACTTTTAGGTGCATGTAGGAATTCTCTTGAAGAATCTTTAACTCATTTCATGTTCTAATCATTTGAGGAGAAATTGCATCAACAGGTGAAAATATTGAAGACTATGGGAGAAAAGTGAGCGATGAGAGCTGCCAGTCAGTCAGAAGCCTGTAAACTCAAACTTAACAGTACTTTGCAGAAGGCTCTGGCTGCTGACAAAAGTACAATGACTAAGATGTCACGAAAGTGCATTTTTTGGGTTGAGATTGGTTTCTGGGTAAGCTTGCAGGGTGAACAGGCTAATGCTTTTGTAAATATAGTCAACCATAAAATTCTCCATAGGCACATTATATTGTGCAGTGAGTAATACCCGACTAATCTTAAGGCTATGATTCTGGAGCACCTGCTCAGCTAAGAAACTATAGCAACAGCTGTAAGATGAGCTACAATTTGGAACTGTATGATACAAAATAAAGAAAAGGTAATTAAACTCTGCACTGCAGTGGAAGCTCCCTGAATGACATTATCTAACATGCGCTTTTATTTGTCTTCTTAGGTTTAAGGTTGAATATATCCTCTCAGAGCCTCACTCCGAATGGATGGGGAAACGTGGAAAGATTGAGATGTCCCTTTGTTCAGAATATTTGACAGAGCATGCTGAAGAGTTGAAAACACTTGTGTGTATTTGTGGTCCAACTTCCTTCACTGAGCAAGCTGTTGGGTATGTACTGTGATAAACTGATTATCTAGGATGATATTCTGCTCCTTCAAAGCAGATTTCCATAATTTAATTTAACGTCCAGCTCTGTGCTTCTGTTGTCTTGCATATCTTTTCTTTGCTGTTGTCTCTGTTGCCCTCTTTGCAGACTGTCTCATCCTGATCTCTGCATCCTATACATTTCTTTCATACCATGCTCCCATTTTGTAGTATCGCTTTCCTCTACCCCACCTTGGCCCATCTGCTACAAAAATCCTTATCTATGCCTTTGTCGTCTCCAGACTTGACTATTCCAATCAAAAAACAGAAATCACTGGAGAAACTCAGCAGGTCTGGCAGCCTCTGTGAAGCGAAAACAAAGTTAACGTTTTGAGTCCAGTGACCCTCTGTCAGCAGAGCCTTGAAGAAAGGTCACTGGACTCAAAACGTTCGCACATGCTGTCAGACCTGTTGAGTTTCTCCAGTGATTTCTGTTTTTTGATTGGAAACTGAACAGGTCTGACAGCATGTGCGAACGTTTTGAGTCCAGTGACCTTTCTTCAAGGCTCTGCTGACAGAGGGTCACTGGATTCAAAACGTTAACTTTGTTTTCGCTTCACAGAGGCTGCCAGACCTGCTGAGTTTCTCCAGGGATTCTGTTTTTGTTTGTTTCATATCTTCAGAATCCACAATTTTGTTTTTTTTTTACTATTCCAATTCTATTCGACAAGGCTCTCATCCAAATTTCAACTCATCCAAATCATTGTTGTCTATACCTATCCAGCAATACGTCCTGCTAGACTGTCATTCCTGTTTTTACAAATCTGCGTTGGCTGTCAGTCACTCAACATCTCCTTGATTTAACACAGCCTAATTTTTAGGAGTTACTGTCAAAGATTTTCAGTTTTGTTATCAGGTACGCCAAGACTGGAAAGGGATCATAATTTTTTTTCTATTAGATGTATTTTCTTATTTAAGTTTTAAAATTTGGCCTAGAACATGGCCACTGATTTTTTTTTTTATTTCAAAAAATACTTTATTCATAAAAAATGTATGTACATACATAGTCACTAAAGCAGTTCAGTTCTGTTGTGAAGAAAACAAACATTGGAGTTTGACTTTATCCAACTAACAAACCAAAGGCATTTCTTAATTGTGCAAAACTATACTTACATGTATTTGAGGCATTAGGAGGGTCCGATAACTGAATGGATCCCCATATAACTTTGGCAGAAAGACCGCAGACAATGATCTTTCCCCACTGTACCTTGGCAGCAGCTCCCCAAGCTTTAGTGCATCCCTCAGCACGTAATCTTGGACCTTGGAATGTGCCAATCTGCCACTGATTAAATGATGCAAGTTGACTACATGTCTGCAAAGTTCCAATTATCAATTGCCAGGACAGAACTCAGAAAGATCTACTCTCCTGAAATCTGTCACTTTCATTACATGGTAATTGAAGTCAAAACAATGTAAAAGAGCAGTAGACATTTGTCTCTCTCCTTGATTTGGTTAATAACAGGGTGTTATCAATACACATTATGCATGATGTGTAATTCTTGTTTATATTTAACAACAGTGTTTCGCAAAGGTATAAAACCTGGCCCATCAATTAAAGTGACTCATCATTCATGGGGTTATCCCATGAACAAAACTTCGGATCATTTAACAGAAGGTTTAATTTTACATTTTTTTTGAACCTCTGCTTTAGTCTGATTAAAAAATCTAGTCCACTGTTTAAGACCAAGACCCTCCAGCAGAAAACCAGACTCCAGGCTGAGTTCACCCTGCCTCAAGTCTGATATCTTCTCAAAACCACTTCAGTGGAAGATTCTTATTATTGTTCAAAAGTGGATCAAATCCATACAGCAACATAATCTTGCTGCACCTTCGTCAACTTCAAAAGGATTTCTGAAACGGCTGGCAAATGCACCCATTTGAACCCGTCCTAGACAAAAGAGCCCTCAGTGGGCACCAGCTTTCTAAACTCAGTTGAAAACCATGTGAATTAATACCCATATCCTTGTGGTGTTGTTCTTAATTTTACACTCTTGACTTCTTTTGATTCTTTCTTGCATGCATCTGTGTTTTATTAATTACACTTGAATTTAAATGCATGGATATGCTGTACTTATAAATGTGTTTGTTATGTTTTTTTTTATTCATTCACGGGATGAGGGTGTCACTGGCTAGGCAGCATTTATTGCCCATCCCTAATTGTCCACAGGGCAGTTAAGAGTCAACCATACTGCTGTGGGTCTGAAGTCACATGTAGGCCAGACCAGATAAGGATGGCAGTTTCCTTCCCTAAAGGATCACAATTAACATGATATTTGAGACTTTTATATCCTTATTCACTTGCTGCAATACCGTGATGACATTATGAGCATGCCTCTTAAAGACATACTGTCTTTGAGAAATAATACAAAATCTGCATTTTCTCAAAGATGAATTGTATCCCAACCAGAAATACATAGTTGCATATGGGCACACATTGTTTGTCCTGTTTGAATAATTAGTGAAATGACAAAGTTTACAAATTAACAGTAAAGTCTTCAATATAATGCTTCAGAATTTTGACAATTGGTCTTAGTTCAGTGATTGTATAGCCATCTCGACAGGTACAGATTATTCACTGTTATACTTGTTTGACATCTTTCTTTATTCATTAACGGGATCAGGGCATCACTGGCCAGGCAGAATTTATTGCCCATCCCTAATTGCCCAGAGGACAGTTAAGAATCAACCCCATTGCTATGAGTCGCATGTAGGTCAGACCAGGTAAGGATGGCAGTTTCCTTCTGTGAAGGACATTAATGAACCAGATGGGTTTTTCCCAACAATCGACAATGGATTGGCAGTCATCATTAGATTCTTAATGCTTAATATTGAATTCAAATTCCACCATCTGCCACTGTTGGATTCAAACCCAGGTCCCCAGAACATTACCTGGGTCTCTGGATTAACAGTCCAGCAATAATACCACTAGGCCATGGCCTCCCCTTCAAAATTTAAAAATTGGACTTCACCAATGGAGGGTTTTGGGAGAAAATACATAGCAGCCTAACTCAGAAGAGAAAAGAAGAAATAAGTTTTTAAAACTGTGTACAAACAAAGGAGGATAAAAATAACATAATACAATTTACCTTTGTCCCTGCCCAGACACATTTGTATTGTACAAAGATTGTATCTGAAGTAGTTCCTTTCATCGCCGTCAGCCTGTTACCATTCAAGATACCAGATGCAAGTTTAACCAGAAATTGTTGCCATTCATTAATACTTGATTAATTTAGTGAAATATTTATTAGAAAGTATGTGGACTTTATTACTTTGACCTTTCATTATTTCCTTTGCAAATTTTCACTTTCTTTTGTATTTGCATTTTTTCCTCATATCCTCATTTTACCTCTACCTCTGATTAGCTCCTAAATTGTAAGGTTCAAGTTCTGCTATCGGTAGTCCTTCCTGGAGTTGCAGTGTGCTGTTTAAAAACAGTTGATGGTCAGATATGGTAGTGTTGTAAATCAGACATCTCTCACCCTTTAGATGATGATGTTTTGAAGGTAGTGATTTAATAAAAGATGCATCTGTGGTTCTTGGATAATTTTAAAAAGGCGGATCAATATCTTAGATCTATACCATAATAGCACAAGTTAAATTATCTCATGAAAAATTGATCTAATTTTGTTTTTGTTATCTTGGCTTTGTTTGACTGATATCATGTATGTATAGATCTATAGCATCATATTATGGAGTGCATGGTTTTTTTCTGCAATAATATTATTTTTGTGATATTTTTTACTACACTTCCCCATCCGTGCTTCAGTTACAGCCCTTCACTTCTGAGTTTGAAAGTCGCAGGTTTATGTCATGAGTACATAATTTTGATTGGGGCCTTAATGCAGTGCTGAGGGAATGCTGTAATGTTGGAACTCTTTCAGATGAGACATTAAACTGAGGTCCCATCTATCCCCTTGGTAGTACATAAAAGATCACGTGATAATATTTGAAGGGATATGCTAACTTGCTCAATATTTATCTCTGAACTAACATTACTGAAAAATTATTTGGTGTTTTCTCTTATGTTTGTATGTTACACTTATTAAGAACAAACTGTTCAACAGACTCCTCTATGTTACAGCAAATGACCACACTTTTAAGAATTGCTAATTTGGACAATGAATGCATGAGATTTCTTTCCTTTCTCAGTTGTCAGTTCTTTTTCTTTTTTGCTCTTGCTGCGCATACATTTATAATGCATTAGATCGCTTTAAACGTTCACTCTAACCCACTTTCATGTTTTGGTTTAGCTGTCCTAATAATTTCCTTTACCTTCTTTGTTTTTATATTTAACTTCATCCATTATGTTATGCTTTTATCTGAGAAAGGCTGTAAGGAGAAGCCTGGGATCTATGGACCGATGAGTCTGACATCAGTAGTGCGTAAATTGTTGGAAGGGATTCTGAGAGGTAGGATTTACATGCATTTGGAAAGGCAAGGAGTTATTAGGGATAGTTGGCATGACTCTGTGCGAGGGAAATTGCGTCTTACCAACTTGATTAGGTTTTTTTGAAGATGTAATGAAAAAGATTGATGAGGGCAGAGGCAGATTGATGAACTTTAATAAAGCCTTTGGAAAAGTTCCACATGGTAGTCTAGTTAGTAAAGTTAGATCACATGGGATTCAGGACAAGCTTGCCAATTGGATACAAATTGGCTTGATGGTAGGAGACACAGGCTGGTGATGTAGGTTTATTTTTCAGATTGGAGACCTCTGACCAGCAGTGTTCCACAGGGATCGGTACTTGGCCCACTCTTGTTTGTCATTTATGTAAACAATTTGATTGAGAAAATAGGAGGCACAGTTATTAAGTTTGCCGATGACAGCAAAATTGGTGGCAAAGTTGGCAGGAAAGAAAGTTGTCTAAAATTACAAAAAGAACCTGATCAATTGAGCCAATGGACTGAGGAATGGCAGATGGAGTTTAATTTGGATAAATGCAAGGTACTGCATTTTGGTAAAA